GAGGGAAAGGAGCGGAGTGATAGAGAGAGAGAGGCAGAGAGAGAGAGAGAGAGAGAGGGAGAGAGACCTGCGCAGAGGTGTGAGAGGGAGTGGGAGGGAGAGGAGGGGTGTATAGAATAAATGAGTGACTTACGTCCAAAACACCGTTAGCATACGCAAACTACTAACATCAGGTGCATACAAAATTAAAGCATTGAAAGTATTTCCTTATCATCTATTAGACAGGTTGACAAACCGATAATCTGGCACAGCTAGGGTTGGATGAAAACGCAAAAAATCCGAGGTGTCTTAAAAGGAATGCTTTACACTTATGTAGGGTTTAAAACCGAAAAGCCATCTTGAAGACTTTTCGATGCAGTTCACAGCCCCTTCTTGAATACCTAAGTGACTTAAGTTTCTGAGCTAAACGCCGTCGAAAACGGAAGCGTATTTTGGTGAGAGCATTTCAAGGTCACCGTGGGATTCATGACGTCACAACAATGCATTCAAATCTTACCATTTTGTAAGCCAAGTAGCGATCAAGGCCGATAAAAATGTGATGGTCGAGCTGTTCATATCTGGCTTTCGTGACCACGATTTCCAGATATAGCGCCCGTTAACTGCCTCTCAATCAATGTTGTGCAAGGTACGATGACGTTATCAATTAATGACGCATAGAGAAGCATTTTAATGAAATAGAGAAACTGTGGTGTCTAAAGCGGCTTGTTTCAATGCCTTCAGACTTGAATCAGGCCCTTGAAATGCGCCTTTATTGGCGTTACGCGGGTGCGTCGACTGCACTAGTCATTTTACGCCCATAAAAATGTTTTTGCTTCATTAGTATGGTGTGAAAATGACCTGAAAATCGATGTCTTTTAAGAACGAAAAGAGTTGTTTGGAATCCAGAAAGCAGGAGCTGCCCCCAAGCGCATCACTAATCTTTAGGAACAAAGCCTGCGGACCAAAGTGACGTCGTCGTTCTTCCATGAAGCGCGGATATGATACAATGACATGGTGGACAGAGAAAACGGCACGCCCTTCGAGGTTTTGGATCCGTCTCTGTACGTCAGAGTGTATCCTTCCTAACACGTCATAAGCTCAAGTGCCCTGGATCTCATTAGGTGTGGTGTGACGTTTTTTCCCCCAATTTCCGTAAGCCAGGTGTCAATGAAGGGTTTGGTCACCTGCCAAGGAGGAGAAGCCAGGTGCCGTACTTGCTTTACACCTTGAAGAGGAATTTCGCCCTCGAGCAATAAGGCTCTCATTCGGAAACCAAAAGTTAAAGCGTGCTGCTGCGACCCATGACGAAGGGAACTCACGGCGAACCGAGAGAATACTATAGAATATGTCGGATAAAGCGGGAACTGCCGCAGCTTCAAGGCATAACGCATGCCTAGCATTTTCCTCCTCGTCGAAAGTGGTGGCGTGTGTCCCTCCGTTAAAAGGGCGACAGAAGGTGAGGTGTGGAACGCCCCAGTAACAATACGAATGGCAGTATGGTGAACGGTATCAAGAACCCGCTTGCTGGATTCAGACGCGCCATCGTACACAGCATGCATAATCCAGTTTGGAGCGGACGAGCGAACAATATAAAAGCATAAGCGTGCTTCTGTCTTGCCCATATGATGTGCGAGACACACACTTAAGTATGCTGAGAGATTTAAAATAGCGATCGCGTAATATTTTAAGATGTGCATATGTAAGGCGGCGGTCAAAGTGTATCCCAAGGTACTTGGCCACAGACTTATTTGGAATAGAGCGACCAGATAGACGGATGCTCAGGTCATCGCATCGCTGGCGACGACAAAAATGCATCGCAACGGTCTTGTGGCCTGAAAAACGAAACCCGTTCATGTCGCACCATCTTTGCACGCGGTCCGCAGCCAGCTGGAGACGTCACTCCATCGCTGGTGCCCTCGCTGCACTGGTCCAAATAATAAAATTGTCAACAAAAGGGCACGTCCAACCGACTGGGGGAGCACATCACCAATATCGTTTATCATAATTGCGAACAGCACTGCACTTAACGCGCCGCCCTGGGGCACACCGTCTATTTGTTGGTAGCTATTGGAGAGGACGTTGCCGACGCGAACACGAAAATATCGTTTAGCTAAAAACCTTTGGAGAAAAGTACCCATATGACCACGTATACCATATTTAAAAAGCTTTTGAAGAATGCCATGGCGCCATGTGGTGCCACAGGCGGCTTCAATGTCAAAGAGACTGTTCCCATAAGCGCCTTCTCTTGAAAAACCTTACGAATCGTAGTGTCTAATGCTAACAGGTAGTCCACCGTACTTCGGTCTTTTTTTCTAACCCTGCACTGTGAGTTACTAAAGACATCATGGTTATCCAAAAACCAGGTAAGTCAAACGTTTACCATCGTTTCCATGATCTTGGACAGCGACGACGTCAGTGAAAGGGGTCGGTAATGAAGAGGGTCCATCCCAACCTTTTCCGGTTTTAAAATGGGTACCGCAACAGCTTCTCGCCAGGCCGGAGGGAAACCACCCATTGACCACACCCTGTTAAAGATCGCTAACAGCACACGGCGTGCACAGGGTGGCGGATGTCGGGGCATCTCATTGTGGATGTCATCAGGGCATTCAGATACACTACGAAGCATTGCGATTGCCAACTCCAACTCCACCAAACTGAAGAGCTCATTCTACGCCTGTGGTGGCCTTGTCAAAAAAGTCCACTTCGATTTGTTCGCAGTGTGCTCTGCTGTAAGAACTGTGGGCTCGTGTTTGCACCTTCGCTACGGTGAGAGAGTGCTCGGGCGATCTCGTCAGTCACATCCAACGGATGAGTCACCACCTGGCCGTTAACATGTAGCACAGGAAGTGGCACGGATGAAAACTGCCCAGAGATGCGTTTGATCCGAGCCCAAACCTGCGAAGTTGCCGTGAATCGGTTAAGCGTGCTTACATAAACACGACAGGATTCACGTTTCGCTTCTTTTATCGTGCGACGGGCAAAAGCTCTCGCCTTCTTAAAAGCTGCCAAATTATCCAGGGTACTTCTAGCGTCGAAACCTCGGAAAGCACGTTTGCGAGCGCGAATTGAGTCACGACATCCCTCTGTCCACCACGGCACAGGAGTGCGACAGGGAACACCAGAAGTGCGCGGGATGCAATCGCTAGCGCAATCTACAAGTCGGTGAGTAAAATCCTCAATAGAGGATTTTAACCTCCA